TACCTGTTTAAACAAGACTTAATCATGTGAGAAAGTTCTTGAATCTCTCAGAGTGTATGGAGTAAAGAATGTAACAACTCTTTTCAGCTCTCTGTACTCTTGCTAACATCTTACCCCAAGTCTTTACTTAAGTAGAATTGTTTGTTGATGGTCTCTGCATCTGTAGAATTAGATGTTGCTCATCTCTGCATCTGTAGAATTGTGTGTTGCTTGTCTCTCCTTCCGTAAGACTGTGTTCTGCTTGTCATTGCTTCTGTAGGATTGTGTGTTGCTCGTCTCTGCTTTTGTAAAATTGGTTATTGCTTGCATCTGCTTCTGTAGGATTGTGTGTTGCTCGTCTCTGATTCTGTAGGATTGTGTGTTGCTCATCTCTGCTTTTGTAAAATTGGGTATTGCTTGCATCTGCTTCTGTAGGATTGTGTGTTGCTCGTCTCTGCCTCTGTAGAATTGTGTGTTGCTCATCTCTGCTTTTGTAGAATTGGGTATTGCTTGCATCTGCTTCTGTAGGATTGTGTGTTGCTCGTCTCTGCTTTTGTAGAATTGGGTATTGCTTGCATCTGCTTCTGTAGGATTGTGTGTTGCTCGTCTCTGCTTCTGTAGAATTGTGTGTTGCTCATCTCTGCTCTTGTAGAATTGGGTATTGCTTGCATCTGCTTCTGAAGGATTGTGTGTTGCTTGTCTCTGTTTCTGTAGAATTGGGTATTGCTCATCTCTGCTTTTGTAGAATTGGGTATTGCTTGCATCTGCTTCTGTAGGATTGTGTGTTGCTCGTCTCTGCATCTGTAGAATTGTTTGTTGCTTGTCTCTCCTTCTGTATAGGATTGTGTGTTGCTTGTCACTGCTTCTGTAGGATTGTGTGTTGCTCATCTCTGCTTTTGTAGAATTGGGTATTGCTTGCATCTGCTTCTGTAGGATTATGTGTTGCTCGTCTCTGCTTCTGTAGGATTGTGTGTTGCTCATCTCTGCTTCTGTAGAATTGGGTATTGCCTGCCTCTGCTTCTGTAGGATTGTGTGTTGCTCGTCTCTGCTTCTGTAGGATTGTGTGTTGCTCATCTCTGCTTCTGTAGAATTGGGTATTGCTTGCACCTGCTTCTGTAGGATTGTGTGTTGCTCGTCTCTGCCTCTGTTGAATTGTGTGTTGCTCATCTCTGCTTTTGTAGAATTGGGTACCGTATATCAGGTTTTTTCCGCGTCATGTTTTTTCCGCGAATCAGAACCTAAATCAGTATATTAAATTTACGCGAATCAAATTTTCACTATTTCAAAGTCCCAGACTCCCAGTCATTATGTTATTAAAATTGTTTACGGTAAGCCTATGAAGGAATTGGATGTAAAATGTGAAGTCATTAAGCTTGAGTTACTTCATGCAGATGAGAAATAGATTGATCGACCTTCACCTCGTCAATTTCGGAAGACCCGCTCAGCTGATTACACACCTGTTTTGCGTACTAATTCTGAAATCTCCAGATATTACTTTTTAAGATTTAGAGAATCAAAGGTCATTTACTGTTCCAAACTGATTAGCAGCTCAGGTATAATTAGTTTAATAGCTTCTCGCAAGGAACGTGACCCATATAATTAGCTAGCTTGTCAATTAGTAAGCAAACAATAAGGGCTTATACCTATTACCGGTATCGGTATCTTGCGCTTGTCCTCTGATCCCGCTAATTCTACCCTCTATGATATAAGCATTAAGAAATAATTCTACTACAAAAAGAAAACTTTGTATTAAATTTACGCTGTTTTATTTTCCGCGATTCAGAACTCGTCGCGAACAAAGCGGAAATTGGATACACGCGGAAAAATCCTGATATACGGTATTGCTTGCATCTGCTTCTGTAGGATTGTGTGTTGCTCGTCTCTGCTTTTGTAGAATTGGGTATTGCTTACATCTGCTTCTGTAGGATTGTGTGTTGCTCGTCTCTGCTTCTGTAGAATTGTGTGTTGCTCATCTCTGCTTTTGTAGAATTGGGTATTGCTTGCATCTGCTTCTGAAGGATTGTGTGTTGCTTGTCTCTGTTTCTGTAGAATTGGGTATTGCCTGCCTCTGCTTCTGTAGGATTGTGTGTTGCTCAGGATTGGGTATTGCCTGCCTCTGCTTCTGTAGAAATGGGTATTGCTTGTCTCTGCTTCTGTAGAATTGGGTATTGCTTGCCTCTGCTTCAGTAGGATTGTGTGTTGCTTGTCTCTGCTTCTCTAGCATTGGATATTGCTTATATTTGCTTCAGTAGGATTGGATATTGCTTGTCTTTGCTTCAGTAGGATTGTGTGCTGCTTGTATCTGCTTCAGTAGGATTGTGTACTGCTTGTCTCTGCATCTGTAGAATTGGGTGTTGCTTGCCTCTGCTTCAGTAGGATTGTGTGTTGCTTGTCTTTGCTTTTCTAACACTGGATATTGCTTGTATCTGCTTCAGTAGGATTGGATATTGCTTGTCTTTGCTTCACTAGGATTATGTACTGCTTGTCTCTGCATCTGTAGAATTGGTGTTTTGCTTGTGTGTTGCTTGTCTCTGCTTCTGTATAGGATTGTGTGTTGCTTGTCTCTGCTTCTGTAGAATTATGTGTTGCTTTTCTCTGCTTCTTTGGGATTGTGTGTTGCTTGTCTCTGCTTCTGTAGGATTGTGTGTTGCTTGTCTCTGCTTCTGTATAGGATTGTGTGTTGTCCGTCTCTGCTTCTGTAGGATTGTGTGTTGCTTGTCTCTGCTTCTGTAGGATTGTGTGTTGCTCATCTCTGCTTTTGTAAAATTGGGTATTGCTTGCATCTGCTTCTGTAGGATTGTGTGTTGCTCGTCTCTGCCTCTGTTGAATTGTGTGTTGCTCATCTCTGCTTTAGTAGAATTGGGTATTGCTTGCATCTGCTTCTGTAGGATTGTGTGTTGCTCGTCTCTGCTTTTGTAGAATTGGGTATTGCTTGCATCTGCTTCTGTAGGATTGTGTGTTGCTCGTCTCTGCTTCTGTAGAATTGTGTGTTGCTCATCTCTGCTCTTGTAGAATTGGGTATTGCTTGCATCTGCTTCTGAAGTATTGTGTGTTGCTTGTCTCTGTTTCTGTAGAATTGGGTATTGCTCATCTCTGCTTTTGTAGAATTGGGTATTGCTTGCATCTGCTTCTGTAGGATTGTGTGTTGCTTGTCACTGCTTCTGTAGGATTGTGTGTTGCTTGTCACTGCTTCTGTAGGATTGTATGTTGCTTGTCACTGCTTCTGTAGGATTGTGTGTTGCTCATCTCTGCTTTTGTAGAATTGGGTATTGCTTGCATCTGCTTCTGTAGGATTATGTGTTGCTCGTCTCTGCTTCTGTAGGATTGTGTGTTGCTCATCTCTGCTTTTGTAGAATTGGTTATTGCTTGCATCTGCTTCTGTAGGATTGTGTGTTGCTCGTCTCTGATTCTGTAGGATTGTGTGTTGCTCATCTCTGCTTTTGTAGAACTGGGTATTGCTTGCATCTGCTTCTGTAGGATTGTGTGTTGCTCGTCTCTGCCTCTGTTGAATTGTGTGTTGCTCATCTCTGCTTTTGTAGAATTGGGTATTGCTTGCATCTGCTTCTGTAGGATTGTGTGTTGCTCGTCTCTGCTTTTGTAGAATTGGGTATTGCTTACATCTGCTTCTGTAGGATTGTGTGTTGCTCGTCTCTGCTTCTGTAGAATTGTGTGTTGCTCATCTCTGCTCTTGTAGAATTGGGTATTGCTTGCATCTGCTTCTGAAGGATTGTGTGTTGCTTGTCTCTGTTTCTGTAGAATTGGGTATTGCCTGCCTCTGCTTCTGTAGGATTGTGTGTTGCTCATCTCTGCTTCTGTAGGATTGGGTATTGCCTGCCTCTGCTTCTGTAGAAATGGGTATTGCTTGTCTCTGCTTCTGTAGAATTGGGTATTGCTTGCCTCCTGCTTCAGTAGGACTGTGTGTTGCTTGTCTCTGCTTCTCTAGCATTGGATATTGCTTACATTTGCTTCATTAGGATTGGATATTGCTAGTCTTTGCTTCAGTAGTATTGTGCGCTGCATGTATCTGCTTCAGTAGGATTGTGTACTGCTCGTCTCTGCATCGGTAGAATTGGGTGTGGCTTGCCTCTACTTCAGTAGGATTGAGTGTTTCTTGTCATTGCTTTTCTAGCACTGGATATTGCTTGTATCTGCTTCTGTAGGATTGGATATTGCTTGTCTTTGCTTCACTAGGATTATGTATTGCTTGTCTCTGCATCTATAGAATTGGTGTTTTGCTTGTGTGTTGCTTGTCTCTGCTTCTGTATAGTATTGTGTGTTGCTTGTCTCCGCTTCTGTAGAATTATGTGTTGCTTTTCTCTGCTTCTTTGGGATTGTGTGTTGCTTGTCTCTGCTTCTGTAGGATTGTGTGTTGCTTGTCTCTGCTTCTGTATAGGACTGTGTGTTGTCCGTCTCTGCTTCTGTAGGATTGTGTGTTGCTTGTCTCTGCTTCTGTATAGGATGGTGTGTTGCTTGTCTCTGCTTTGGTAGAATTGTGTGTTGCTTGTCTCTGCTTCTGTGGGATTGTGTGTTGCTTGTCTCTGCTTCTGTATAGGATTGTGTGTTGTTTGTCTCTGCTTCTGTATAGAATTGTGTGTTGCTTGTCTCTACTTCTGTATAGGATTGTGTGTTGCCTGTCTCTGCTTCTGTATAGGATTGTGTGTTGCTTGTCTCTACTTCTGTATAGGATTGTGTGTTGCTTGTCTCTGCTTCTGTATAGGATTGTGTGTTGCTTGTCTCTGCTTCTGTAGAATTGTGTGTTGCTTGTCTCTACTTCTGTAGGATTGTGAGTTGGTGGTCTCTGCTTCTGTAGAATTGTGTGTTGCTTGTCTCTGCTTCTGTAGGATTGTGTGTTGCTTGTCTCTGCTTCTGTATAGGATTGTGTGTTGCTTGTCTCTACTTCTGTATAGGATTGTGTGTTGCCTGTCTCTGCTTCTGTATAGAATTGTGTGTTGCTTGTCTCTACTTCTGTATAGGATTGTGTGTTGCCTGTCTCTGCTTCTGTATAGGATTGTGTGTTGCCTGTCTCTGCTTCTGTATCGGATTGTGTGTTGCTTGTCTCTGCTTCTGTATAGGATTGTGTGTTGCTTGTCTCTGCTTCTGTAGGATATTGTGTGTTTCTGCTTCTGTAGAAATGGGTACTGCTTGTCTCTGTTTCTGTAGAATTGGGTGTTACTTGTCTCTGCTTCAGTAGCATTAGTTGTTGCTTACTTCTGTAGCACTGGGTACAGCTTGTCCGTGATTCTGTTGAATTAAATACTGCTTGTCCCTGCATCTGTAAGATTGGCTACTGCTTGTCCCTATAGCTGTAAGATTAAACATTGCATGTCTCTGCATCTGTAAAATTAAATGCTGCTTATCTCTGCTTCAGAATCTGTAAAATAAAAAAGTTTGTCCCTGCATCCGTAAGATTTCATACTGCCTGCCCCTGCTTCTGTTAGATTAAATAAAGCTTGTCTGTAAAATTAAATACTGCTTTTCCCAGAACTTCTGTAAGATTAAATAAAGCTTGTCCATTAGATTAAATACTGCTTGTCTCTGCTTCTGTCAGATTTCTTACTGCTTCTTACTGCTTTTCCCAGTGCTTCTGTAAGATTAAATAAAGCTTGTTTGTTAGATTAAATACTGCTTGTCCCTGCTTCTGCCATATTTCTTACTGCTTTTCCCAGTGCTTCTGTAAGATTAAATAAAACTTGTTTGTTAGATTAAATACTGCTTGTCCCTGCTTCTGTCATATTTCTCACTGCTTTTCCCAGTGCTTCTGTAAGATTAAAGAAATCTTGTCTATTAGATTAAACACTGCTTGTCACTGCTTCTGTCAAATTTCTTACTGCTTTTCCCAATGCTTCTGTAAGATTAAAGAAAGCTTGTCCATTAGATTAAATACTGCTTTTCCCAGTGCTTCTGTAAGATTAAATAAAGCTTGTTTGTTAGATTAAATACTGCTTGTCCCTGCTTCTGTCATATTTCTCACTGCTTTTCCCAGTGCTTCTGTAAGATTAAATAAAACTTGTCCTTTAGATTAAATACTGCTTGTCCCTGCATCTGTAAGATTAAATAAAGCTTGTCCAGAAGATTACATACTACTTGTCCCTGCTTCTGTAAGATTAAATAAAGCTTGTCTGTAAGATTTTATACTGTTTGTCCCTGCATCTGTATGATTAAATACTGCTTGTCCCTGCATCTGTAAGATTAAATAAAGCTTTCCCTGCCTCTGTAAAATTGGCTACTGCTTGTCTCTGCATCTGTATGATTAAATACTGCTTGTCCCTGCATCTGTAAGATTAAATAAAGCAGTTGTCCGTGCATCTGTAAGATTAAATAAATGTATATACATTAATATCTATACTGCCAAACCTCATAATCTCGAACTCATAGGGACAATGAAATTTTTAAAAAATAAGTTGGGATTCCAAATACTAGCATTCAGGTTACAATACTTTAAGAACAGGGGTTATAAAGGACTTCCAAATCACTTAAACTTATCCATGATATTCAAGATATTAATGTTCGAGATACCAAAGTTCAACTGCATATTTAAATTTTTTGGTTTTTTGGTTTTTGTATTTTTTTTTTGTTTTTTGTATTTTTGTTTTTTTTTTTGGTTTTTGTATTTTTCCCCATATAAGATAAATCCCAACAGCATGATGCTATATATACACCTTAACATCAATGAGTTGGTGCCCATCTTAAGGGCCTCGCTCTACCTAAAGGACTTCAGGATGAGAGGGCATAGTAAAGAACCTTGACATTTGACTTACACCTTTAATCCAAAGGCACCCTGGAAGATGTATGAGATGAAGCTCAAGGGAACACAAAATAATGACCATGATTTCACACAGATGTCTCCTATGACCTTGAAACCTGACCAAAGACTTGGTTTGGAGCTAAAGTACACCATAAACTTATTGGAATTCTGTGGGTTACTGAGTAAATATAGGCTGAATAGAGCCAAGGCTTATAGTTAAAAAAACAAAAACCTTAGGATAAAAGTTATATATCCAACCATAAACCCTGGGAGATTTTACCAGGTAAACAGAAGTTTTGTTTACTGCTGACCTTTAGTTCAACAACTCTGCAGAGGGGAGAGAAATAAGCTCACAATGATAAAGATGACATGACCTTGACTTCTGACCTAGAAGCTGTTCGTTACTGAACATCCTTTACCACTTGACACTATATATAGGTGAAACATAAGCCAGAAAGGGCTAAATGAAAGAAAATATGCATTACACAGAGGAAAGAAATATGCTCAAGCTCACTAATGATGAAGATGACAAGACCTTGACTTTTGACCTAGATGCTGTTCGTTACTGCACATCGTTTACCACTTGGCGCTTTATATGTCTGCAGAGGGGAGAGAAATATCCTCACTAATGATAATGACAAGACCTTGACTTTTGACCTATATGCTGTTCGTTACTGTACATCGTTTACCACTTGGCGCTATTATAATATATCCGCAGAGGGGAGAGAAATATCCTCACTAATGATGATGACAAGACCTTGACTTTTGACCTAGATGCTGTTCTATACTGCACATTCTTTACCACTTGCGCTATATATATATCTGCAGAGGGGAGAGAAATATCCTCACTAATGATAAAGATGACATTAGACCTTGACTTTTGACCTAGATGCTGTTCGTTATTGCACATCCTTTACCTCTTGGCACTATATATATGTGAAGTAGAAGTCACAAAGGGCCAAATTTAAGGAAAATATGCTCCAGATAAGGATTACAATGATGCAGATATGCTTTCTCTTTTGACCTTTTACTTAGAAAACTGGTTCATTGCAGGCAACAGCAGTTTGAACCAGATTAAGCCAAGGGGAGATATTCTGGTAACCAAAATCAGACAGACGGACAAACTGATCATTATCATAGCGAGGCCCCAAATATTGAAAACAAAACCACTCACTTTACATCTACGTCTGGACAGAGCTGCTGAGGCGAGGCGAGGGTGGTGGACGGATAAACAGTAATTGTGTGTGCAGATGAGACATTCAAACATTATATTGAAAACAATAAACATTGAAAATCAGACATTGAACACAATACAAATACATGCAAAATACAAAAAATGCACTTGACAGAGATGAAAAATACAAAAATTGTAGAACACTGCACATACATTCAAATAATGTATAGAGAATACTTTTCATGTAAAAAAAAAAAAAAAGCACCTAAATCTTATCTTTCTCCTGATAACACCTAAAATGTAGGTTAAATATATAGTATTCAATGTAAGCAGCAGATCCAACATTGTAAGAGGTAGCATGAGAGCAGACCAGGAGACTGTGCCAGGGATAGGCAATACACTGTACAAGTGTAAAATGTAGGTCAGGTGCAGCATCCAACGTAAGCATCAGAGTCAGCATCCAAAGAAGCATGATAAAGAACTAGATCAGTTTGGAACCAATCTAAATAATGAAAATAATCTGATCGAGCTCTGAGCAAGTAAGGCAAGAAATGTACGTCATATGCAGCATCAAATGTAAGGAATGGAGTCAGCATCCAAAGATACATGATAAAGAACTACCGTAGATCGGTTTGGAATCAGTACTCTATTAATGAAAATAATCTGAGCTCTGAGCAAGTAAGGCAAGAAATGTAAGTCATATGCAGAATCAAATGTAAGCATCGGAGTCCTCATCATAAGATACATGATAAAGAACTAGATCAGTTTGGAACCAGTCTATTAATGAAAATAATCTGAGCTCTGAGCAAGTAAGGCAAGAAATGTAGGTCAGAGTCAGCATCCAAAGTAAGCATCAGAGTCAGCATCCAAAGATACATGATAAAG